CTTCCCCTGAGCCTCCAGATAAGAGTCCAGCCTGACCTCTACCTTGACTTTGGCTTTGATTTGAGACCTTAAGCAGAGAACCCAGCTGAACGTTCCTAGGCTTATGACCTACAGAACTTTAAGATAATAAATGAGTTTTGTTTTAAGCTACTAAGTTTATGGTGACACGTTATACAGCAATAAAAAACTACCACCCCATAAACTATGTGAGGAGAAATCAACATTCAGTAATCTAAATCAGATTATTCTCTAGTTATAGAAAGGAATCTTGGGAGAATAAATTCACCTTGCTATTCTTCCAAAGGCTAAATAAAGATGTATTTGGTGGTTGGAGTGAAAATCCATTTTAATATGACTTTGAAATTAAATGTCATATATGTGTTACAGAATACAAGTTTTTGTTGCTAAGTCTAAATCTGTGCCATTCAATATGATGGCCACTAGCCCCATGTACCTACTAAATAAATTGATATTTGCTGTAAGTGTAAAATATACACAGGATTTTGAAAACTTGGTATAAAAAAAAGTAAAATATCTCAATGATATTTTAAGATTGATTACATTTTTAAATAACATGTTTGGATATACTGGGTTAAGAAAAATAAATTATTAAAACTAAACTCATCTATCGCTTCAATTTTTAAAATTTGGTTAATGGAAAATTTTAAATTACATATGTGGCTCAATTATATTCCCATTGGACAGTGCTGGTCTAGACTTTTAGACAAGTGTCCTCTTCTAAAGAATGCCCAACATCAAAATCACAGTCAGCTATATTTATTCTCTTCTTTCCAACACAGTTCAGTGGCATTAATGGCATACAGCTGTATAAAAATACAAGATGAGGCTGGCCGAGTGGCTGAGTTGGTTAAGACCTCGCTCAAGAATGCGAGCTCTGAGCAACAGTGTTGCTGGTTCGATTCACGGCCCGAGCTGAGCTGCCGCTAAACTGTCAACAGCTTGGCAGGATGGCTCAGCTAACAACAACAAAAAAAATTCAAGATGAGTGGTATGGCAGTTCTAGTATTAGTGAGGACATGGAGAAACTAGCTCTCTCACACAGTGCTGTTGGACAAAGTAATTTGGCAATATCTAACGAAGTAAATATGTACATAAGTTCAATCTGACAATTCCACTTCTAGGTATATACCCAAGAAATCTATGAACATATGCACAAGGAAACATGTCTGAACTTAGAATTGTTTGTAGGGCAGAGGTTGCCAGCTATCAACCAAAGTTTGGTGTTCTTTTCTCCAAAGTGTAGAGTTGTTTCTTAAATTAACTGTCAAGCCAGCAACTACATTTCCCAGTCCTGTTTGCTAAGAAATGTGGGCCCTAAGTGGGTGCCACATGATTCTAGTCAATGAAAAGTGAACAGAATTATATATGCCACTTCTAAGGACTGGCTCCTAAGAACCTCCAACACTATTCTCCACTCTTTATATGTTTACTGGATGCCTACAGCAACCTTGGAAACCACAGGTTAAAGATACACACCGTTTATTAGCCTGGGTCCCTAAATAACTCCATAAAAAAAAACAGCCCTTTGTTCTTCATTGAAGTACTCTGTGAGCAAGAAATGAACTAATATTATGTTAACCTTTTGGGATTTCCAGATTTATCCATTAGAGCAGCTAGTATTAACTAATACAGTGTATAATATGCAAAAATTAAACAACCCAAATGTCCATCAATAGATTAATCATAGTACAATCATACAATGGAATGCTATGTAGTGGTCAAAATGCAAAAAAACTAGATCTATATGCATCAACATGAATAAATCTTTTTTAAGAAGTTGGTCTCAAGACAGACAGTTACAAAACACAAACTCAGAGAATAAGTGGTGGCCTGAGAAACAGGAAAAACACCTGAAAAGTACAGTTAACGCAGAATGGTTGGTATTTATTTTCTTCTTTTTGCTAATGTGAATTTTCTCCACTTCTTATAGTGCACATTTATTACTTTTTAATAAGAAAAAAGATGTCGTTTTCAATGAGTATTATAACTTGTATTATATTGAGAACTGTTGGAATCCTTTATACATAATCTGTCATTTCTGAATCTGGATCCATAGTTTATTCATCTGTAAAATAAAGTGCTTGGACAGAAAATGATCTATCCCAACAGTGTCTTCCAATATTGATTCTTATAACTAAGTGATATGATTTCCTTTTATAAGTAACAAAATGAAAACTAAAATAATCAAAAGTATATTTTTTAACTCTGAGGGGTTTTTTTGGGGGGGGAGGGAGCTATCTGTTTAAGAATCTTGAAGTTACTTTACATGAACAAGCCAGCCATTTTATGTCTGAATAAAAATAGGTTAATAGCCTCTGCACAAAACACAGTATAAATGATGAAATCTCTGATTTAAAGCAAAAATGTTTTCCAACTTTAATTTTGCTAGTTTTACTTCAAATCCAAACTTCTATTCTCAATTAGATAGTTATTTTACCATTTGAATACCTCTTCTAGTTTTATGTGTATCAAAATTAATCTTGCTTTCCTTCCATATGGAAAACACACATTTACTTGCCATCATCTTTATATAGATTTCATTTTTTCAAAAAAAACCTTCTTTACTGGCAAACGTTTGTGGTTGTTCTAAACTAATGAGTCTCTTTTTAATGGACCTCTAATGTTTAAACATGTGTTTCTTTAATTCTGCAACTGCATTTGTAAAGGTAAAAAACTGTCAAAATATAAGTAGTCTGATGCTGAGATAAACTCTTCCACTTTGGTAAACACTCCCGTTTTCTTTTTAGTAGGAAGTTTTAAGTGTCTTTACATAGTGTTTAAAAATGACATTTTGTATGCCCATCTCTATTGTAGTTTACAAACACTAGGAAGACTCTAAACTGTTAATACTGTTTGTCTCTGGGTGGTGGCATTACACGCCATTTTTTTATTTCCCAAAAAAGCATTATTACTTTGGCAATCCAATTAGTATTTCAAAATTAAATTTTAAGTAGCTTATAAAGTGTGGAACATCAGCACAGTCCGCTTCTACTGCAGATATTAAATGCTTTTTGCCTATTGATAAGCTTCTGCTTTAACAGGAAAATGATCTGATCCCCGGTCAGCTTGGATAAAGACAGAACATTTACTTTCCAGGCCTTTCTCTTAATTTAGGCTTCTGAGAAAATCCAAGAAGTGAGTCTGAATTTAATTGCAGTGAATCGTGCAGTAGTAAACTTTTCTAGGTCCAGAGTAACACCTTTCATTACAACTATCAGCAGAATGGCCAAAGATTCATTCTCAGGGTTACCAATGTTTCCAGAAACTTGTTAGTATTCTCCTCTGTCATTATTTCAAATTCCATTTAGAAAGAGACGCAATTGTAAACGGTTTCTATTTCAAGCCCATAAAAACCAGAACTGGGATGAAAGGCAAAGGCTTGACCTTTCTATTTTCGACTTTTCATCTGTGCAGCTAAGCCATCTGCTTTCTCTCCCCTACCCCCTTCTTCTAAGGAGAGAGAAAACAGAAAATCTAACTGCAATTTTATCGAACCAGCCTGACTTTTCCACTTGAACGAATTGGGGCTTTTTCAGGTGTCGTTCACCTGAAGGCTCGCTTGTAAAATTTTGCTTATCCTTCCCTCCCAAGTTCTCCCCACTTCCCTCAATTATGAGTTATCACATATCTTTAAACTAGGATGCTAGGCTCCCACGGATTAAGTCATCTAAAGAGCTCTTCACTTTCAACACTGAGCGCCCGACGGGAAAATCTACTCCCGTCTCGCCTCGTGCGTCTACCAGGCGGGTATTATAATCGTTGTTGCGGTTACGCAGGAAGCATCTCGCAGCTCAGCCTAGAACCGATCGCGTCTCAAGCCGCCAAACAAGGCACTCAGACTGAGAAAAAGACAGACCCGGGCGGGAGAAAACCTCCTAGAGGCAAGATGCTGGGAAGAAGAGGGAACTCTCAAGGCTGGAAGAAAGGACCTTCCGAGGCACGAAGAAGAAAGGGTGTGTGAAGTGGAGCAAGAAGTGGGCGGCCGAGGTGAAGCTGGAAGAAGGAGCCGGGGCCCGGCGGGAGGGCGCAGGGGCCGGGGGAGCGGCTCCCGGGCCAGCAGGAGGCACCGGGACCCAAGCGGGCGTGGGCCGCTCGCACGCAGCCTACCGCCCAAGTCCGAGCAGCGGGGGCGCTTTCAGCGGCGCCAGGCGCGGGTGTGGACGGGGGTGAAGAGCGGAACAGAGGGCAGTTTGAAGGGCCGACGCGGCGGGGACAGTGGGCCCACCCCCAGCCGAGCCCCGCTACTTAACTATTTGTAGAGCTGCTGCAGGCACAGGTCCAGGCTCTCGCCCTCCACCTCCTCCCGGGTGATGCGCTCCGACAGCGGCCGCAGGAGCGGGGGTAGCGGCGGGAGCTGGGGCTGCGGCGCCGGCAACACGGCCGACTGCCCCGGGGCCGCCGCCGCCTCCTCCTCCTCCTCGCCCTCCGCTGCCGCCACCGCCTCCTCCTCGGGTTCGGGGTCTTGATCTTGCTCCCCCTCCTCCGTCGCGGCTACCGTGACCGCCTCCTCCCCAGGCTCCTCGACCGAAGCCTCGGCCGCCTCAGCGGCTACCAATTCGGACTCGGGCTCAGGCTCGGGCTCAGGCTCGGGCTCAGGCTCCGATTCGGGTTCGGGTTCGGGTTCCGGCTCCGGCTCGCCGCCGCCGCAGGGTCCCCGAAACTCGCCCAAGAATAGCTCCAGGAAGCGCCGGTAAGTTTTCTCCTCGGGGATGCAGCCGGCCATCGCTGCTCATGCCCCGGGGCCGACAGGGAAATGGGTGGGGGGAAGCCCAGGAAGCAGAGGGGGCTGCTTTCGAGCCTCGGGCTCCCGCAAGGGCGGTTAACGGCCGCACCGGCACGAGCGATCAGCACTAGGTAGCCTGGAGAGGGCTCCCGCAGGCGTGCGCGCCGCCGAGTGCGGACGTGCGCGGCCCGGGGGCGGGGGCGGAGCGCGCCGCCCCTCTCGAGTCTGGAGGGAAAGTTGGTGACGGGCGCGCGCTCAGGGTCCAGCGGAGGCCCACCTCCCAGCCCTACAGAGCGCTCAGCCCACGCTACCTAGAGACTGTCTCCATGACAACCAGCTCTAATGAAGAATTTCGGGGTCCCTCCCGTCGAGTCCGCGTAGTCGAACGAACGCTTAACTCTCCCGCTTTCCAACTCTGAATGTCTTTATTGGATGGCTACCCTAGCCTCAAGTGGATAAAGTGAACTAAGACATCTCCAAGTCTAGCTGTTGGTTCCCACTTGGGATTTACCCCAGTTTGCCTTATCTGTTCCTGCCTTGCCTCAGTGTCTTTATCTGGTGTGAACGCTTTTTGTTGTTGATGACACTCCTTTAATAAGTAGTTTGGGGCAGGGGAGGGCATCAAACACCTACCAAGTGGTAGGTTCCTTTGCATACTTTCTCCCATTTGATTCTGCGAAGAAAGGGGTGTTATCCCCGTTTCTCACAAAGAGGAAACAGAATTTTCAGTACTTGACTCCCTTGGAGGTGTCAAAGCTACTAGCCATGACATTGGAATTAGAGCCCAGGATGCCAGCCTCCAAAAGCCTTCTAGACTTTTTTTCCTTTTCTTTGCCTCTGAAGATTCAACAGTGCAATATGTCTACAAAGCCTTAGTTTTTCTAGGCTTTTCTAGTTTACAAGTTGTTTTTCACCCCCTTTAATCCTTACAATAGCGACTCGAGGTAAAAGACATTACCATTATGATTCCATTTTATAGATGAGGAAACTGAGCCTTAAAGACATTGTGACTTGGCTCAAGGTCACACGCAAGTGATGCAACAAGCACTAAATCCAAGTCTTTTTCACTACAAAGCCATTGGTTTTCCAGCACACCAAGGCACCCCTATTTAGTCTCTGGATAATACATATACTTTATTACCTAATATGTATTTTTTTCTACACTTTGTTTGCTCTTCTTCCCCAACCCCTAGCTTTTCTTTCTTTCTTAGATTGAAACTGAAACGACTTTAAATTATTCTAATTTTCTTACCAAACTACACACAAACCTGTTATTTTCGAGCCTTACTGGGAGGTTGGGAGAAGGAAAAGCTGTGTTGTTATACAGCTGTATAGATGATAGCATCCTTACTGCATACTTCCATGTCCATGGCAACATATAATTCAGCAAAAACATAGAGATTCTTTTTCTACTTTGAAAAAAAAACAAAACATGTTCACAAATTATCAACCCATCCTCTCCATTTATTGTTTCTGGGTTTCCAGTTGGATTTAGGGTCTGAAATACCATTTCTAGTCAGTTATTAATGGCAGGAGTCTCCCTGCCAACTGTTTTCATATAATACTGTGTTCTAAATCCCTGACCTGATACTGTTATTTTAAGATTAAGTGGGTTGAGCTCACTAATGTACATTGTGGCATCATGTAAAATAGAGGTCCATTCTCTCTCCCAGCTTGAGAATAAATAATACATGATAGAAAGTGTAGAGTGAGTAATGCACGAGTCCTCTGTAACTATTCATTTTTGTCTCAAAGGTAAATGGAAAGACCCAGTAAGTAAGTCTGTTTCCAGACAAACTAAATGTATTTGTGTTTTGTTTAAAATATCACCAGGGTACAGCAACTTCTCTGACATGCCACGAAAGTCTTTAACCTCCCGCTAAGAAAGTCTTTGAACTCCTCATTTGTCTTTGTTTTCAATCCACCTGTTCATTTCCATTTCAAAATATCTAGAAAAGACTGACAAAACTTTTAAAATGTAAACCTAAATGTCCAGTTTTACATTCTAACAACTATTTAACATCTCAAAATTTGACAAGATAACATTTAGTTCAAGAGTACACAGCTGTCAACTGTAACAATTCATATCAAGCTACACAGTCCTACTTTGTTAATGTAGTTGCCTTCCTCATCTAGGTGACATTTGTGACATTAATTTATGACTCAACCCACGTATCAAAGGGAAGTGTTATATGTTGGGGAAACATTACTTCTAAGAGTAAAAGAAAAAACCCACACCTCTATATTACTATAAATGAGAAGTGTGTTTGCTTATATTAATGAAGATATTCCTTCACAAAAGATCAATATGGATTCTAGTGCATCCATTTAACAGAGTAGCTTTGCCAGAAGGTTGCTGACAGCAGTGCTGGGATCTCAGAGCAGCTGTGTAGGATGACTTTGCCATTGTTGAAAAATCTTTTAAGTCATAATTTTGCATTGCTTTACTTTCCTTTTCAGTTCCTCTCCTTTTACACTTCCCCAATCCCCTTTCTATTTTTAATAATTAAACATATTAAAAGTATATGTTATCAAGGGTATTTAAATATTTTTGAGATTGTTGGGAACTTTTTTTCTCATAAGAATTGTTCTCCCTCTAATCCTTAGCTCTTTGGAGGAAATGCACAATGGCTTTTTGTGGACATTTATGGTAATGATATTTATAAGGTTATAAACAATTGTTGAGTTCAGCAGTTTCTTATCATACGACCCACCAATTCCTCTCCCAAATATTTACCCACAAGAAATGAAAACATCCACAAACACATACGCACACACCACAAAAACCCTTGTACATAATGTTCACAGTGGTTTTATTCATAAACTTGGAAATAACCCAGATGTCATCAATACAAACGGTGGTGTATTCATACAATGGAATACTACTCAGCAATAAAAAGAAATGAACTACTGATAAATACATAACATGAATGAATCTCAGAAACATACTGAGGGAAAAAAATAGAGGCACAAAAAAGTACATACTCTATGATTCCATTTATGTGAAATACTAGAACAGGCAAAACTAACCTATAGTGACAGAAAGCAGTTTAGTGTTGCCTGGGACTGAGGTGGGGTGCGGGGATTCATGGCAAAAGAGTAAGAGGGAACTTTGTGGAGTGATTAAAATATTCTGTATCTTGACTGGGTGGTTCTATAGGTGTATTCATTTGTTAAAAATTATCAAAGTACCTTTTAAATAAGTATATGTAAATAATACCTCAATAAAGCTGATTTTCAAAGTTAGAAAAAATTTATTACTGTGTTACTCCTTGTCCTTTTTGCTTTCATATGCATTCCTTTTCCTCCCTTGTTCTGCTCTATATTTGGGGAGGGACAATCCGTTCAGGCTGAATTCACTACTATTCCTTGACAGCTGACTTTCAGTTGAGATTTGCCCAGTGGGAAGCATTGGCAAGAAACTGGAAGCAGGGAGGAAAGGAGAAAAGCAAGGATACTTCTTCCCTATCCTACAAGTCCTAATGCCTGCTGCATTTCCTTTGTAGCTTTGCTCCCCCTGATCATGTCCACTGGGATTCCAGCTTTTGCTGGTGACACCAGCCCCTGAGCTCTAGAAACATCATCTTCTTCCATTTGTCCATCAGCCTACAGATGATAGCAGCTTCTAGCTTCCTACTCTTGCCTGCTATGGACTGAATATGTGTGTTCTCCAAAGATTCATATGTTGAAATCCTAACTCCCAAGGTGATTGTATTAGAAGTTGAGGCCCTTGGGAGGTGATTAAGTCTTCAGGTCGGAGCCCTCATGAATGGGATTTAGTGCATTAAAAAAAAAAGTTCCAAGAGAGACCCTTTCTACTTCTGCCATGTGAGGACATAGTAAAAAGATGGCTGTCTGTAAACCAGACACTGAATTGGCCAGAGCCCAAATCTTGGACCCCTAAGCCTCTAGAACTGGGAGAAATAAATTTCTGTTGTTTACAAGCCAACCAGTTTATGGTATTTTTCTTATAGCAACCCAAATGAACTAAGACACTGCCTCACCTTCCCTTTTGGCTTTTTAGCTCTTCTATCACTTGTGTAACCAATTGCCTGTATTCTATCCTCTGTTTTCTTAATTGGATCTTGATTAATACGATAACAAATAATACTTTAAAGCACTATAAAATGGAATATATATATGTATATATATATATATGTATATATATATATATATGAAAGAACTATAAATGGATCAAGCCAACATTAAAGCAAGTTTAGGTCTTCAAAGGTACTACAGCAATACTGAACTTACTTGAAATTAGCAGTAAATGATTTCCTACAATTAAAAGTTACAAATAAGTTGCTAGGGATCCAAGGCGAGAGAAGAAAGGATGAATAGGTGGTATATAAGGGATTTTTAGGGCAGCAAAAACTATTCTGTATGATACTATAAGGGTGGATATATATCATTAGACATTTGTCAAAACCCATAGGATGTACCACACAAAGAGTGAACTCTAATGTAAACGATGTATTTTAATTAATGTATCAATATTGGCTCATCAACTCCAACAAATGTACCTCGTTTATGTGTTTGTAATTGAGGAAACTGTGGTGGGGGGCAGAAGAGGGCATATATGGAACTCTCCATCCTTTCCACTCTTTTTTTGTAAGTCTAACATTGCTTTAAAAATCAAGTTTATTAGTTTTTTATGTTAATATTTGATATATGGTGAATAATTGGTGCTTGTAACTAAGAAAATGTTAACTCCTCAATTTATCTCCAGTTAGTATCTGCTTGGTTACAAGTCTAGAATAGTCTGTCTATTCTCAAGTATGCCTGTTTTACCTCTTTATAGGTGAAAAATAGAAAACTGTTTCCAGAAAGAGCCTCAATTTTGTTATTGCTGATTGTAAAAAATTATTGATTTGAAGCTGATACTGTATCTCAAATGATATATCAAATGATAAATATATCATTTTTATGTAAAATAAAGTTTAATGTAAAATATTGACATTTTATATTTTTGAGAAAGTGTAATAATGATGTGTGTGTGTGTGTGTGTGTGTGTGTGTATGTGTGTGTATCAGATCTTAGTGCCTAGACAAATGTTTAAGGCTAGACCTAATGATGCTAAATTGCAAATATAAAAATATGTAATTTTTTACTCACATTTTAAAAACTGAATGGAAGGAAAACTAATATGTAAGGA